CATACTTGTGTAACTCCAGAGCATCGCCTCTTAACAAGAGTATAGCGCTGCAAAGATGACAATAAGAACAATTGCTTTGCAATACACCTCTCTCATCCAGCACTGGGGAGTGCTCTGTCACGCTGTGTGAGAGAGTCCCGTGCTCCAATTCAGCTCATTGCTGCAATTAAGGGTTGTGATTCATAAAAAAAATGAGTTAATGTAGCAGCCTCTAGCGGCTGCAGGGGTGCTGTAAACTCGTTTGCATACCGTGTGATGTGCGTATCGTGAGGTCAGAGGGTCTGCGTTAATTAAGAATCAAAGCTCATTAGGCCCCGAGTTCACTCTCAATGAGGTCATTGTGTCGCCTTCGCAGGAACCATAAGTAGCATGAATGCGGGCTACAGTTCCCTTTGATTTTTTTTTATGGCAGATACATTTTTGAAATGGCCCAAATGTTAAGCAAAAACATCTTCTTGCATTAGAGCTTTACTCTGTATGTATGGACGTTATCCAACCGTCCTAATCTCGTGTAGTCGCCATCTATTGTTCCCTCACTTTACAAATCAAGTAACCGGGGCAATGAGTGTTTTCTTTAAGCGTGACGAAAAGCATGACACTTAAAACACGTGACGCTTTAACATCGCGAATATTTATAGCCCCGTCGAGAGGAAGAAGAAAAGACTACCACCGGCAAATCGTACACATCCCCCCCCCCCGCCCCCCAACGAAACGGCTGAACTCAATTTTGGCTGTTAACATGTTATGAACCTGCACTTCCTTTTGACATTTTTTTTGTAGGCTTCTAAACCCCCCCCCCCTCTCCCCACATTGTTTAGGCTACGGGGGTACATACTTTTATTTCTCTCTTCCGAAAAGAAAGAAAAAAAGATTCGTTATTGGAAAAAAAAGATCCCGATCGGTTCTTTGTGCCGCGTGTGTTGTGCGTGTGTGCTGTGTTTCCCGTCGTTCTTCGTGATGAAGAGCACTTTGGACGCCACGGCAGCTGGCAGTTTCGCAGGGCCCCCCCCCCCCCCCTTGCCGTTGCAGCTCTCGGCACTCGCGGAGTTTGGCTTGGCTGAAAATACTGCGGATAAAAATAGGCGCGTGTGAGATATGCGAAGCGCTCGTGGGCATATAAACCGCTACGGACGACATTCCACTTTTGCCTTCCATTAATTTTAGGCCACAGTTGTTGACACGCTATGCCGGGCGCGCGTTTACCCGCACCCCGTTTTTGGGATATCGCTCTACTTGAGACCGAGCGCAAGAGTACAGCGGTTAATGGTAACGCTGTGATAGTAATACAAAGCTTCGGCCAAAGTGAATGAATAAAGCAAAGTGTGTACGTAAACGATTAAAGATGTGCTTGTGTTCAATAAAGGACACACGTCGCTATTTTAATACGTGAGATGTAACGCCCCCAACGTGTGTTTCCGCAATGGTTATTTCAGACCGTGTGTGTGTGTGTGTTAACTAAATGCGTAAGGTGATCGTTGCGTGCGGTTGCCTTCGATGGGATAATTACCGCACCGGTGCGTGATAAACAAAATCAAGCCAAATTACAAAGGTCCCGGGTCACAGTGTCATGGTTGTGAATGCTCTCTCAGTGAGCTCCTGCAATAAAGACTATCCACCACCGTCGTACTGTAGCACCCTTTGACCATGTACACAAGGCCACCTCTGCCTCTCCATTACTAGTGCTCATACACTGCAGCAGCAGCAGGTACTAATTTTAGGCTGAGATGTCTCGGGGAAATTCCTAGGCTGGGTTTAAATGTCGATTTGCCAGTTGTGTTATGAATGAGTATAAACTTAACCCTGGTTTCTGGAATCCCGAGTGCAGCGCACTCAATTGCCGCTATATCTCTACCCCGCAAAATAAAAAAAAAGATTCTGATGAAGATTTCCTGTACGGTATTAGGAATTCAGATTGCTTGGGCAAATTCTGTGACCACACGAGAGGGTAATGTGGCCAGCACTGTACTTGATATTCATTCACATCCCGCACCAGATAGTTATGGTTGAGTCAACTTAGTGCAGGCCCAGGACTAATTATGACTCGTGTTAGCCAAGGCTGTGAAAAACATTTCCAGATAGCTGTGTTCATAGTGCGGTGTGCTAACAGCTACACTCCAGCTTACCATACACTCACAAAGGCAAAGATTCACCCCTGTAGCCTGAACAGATTATTGGGGCAAGTGTTTTTAGCGTGTAGCACCTATGAAGGCCACCACGGCACACGCCCAGTGATTATTTTTAACACTCCGCACTCGGTACGTATATAGTTACTGGCTGAGTTGACCTCGTTGAGGCCCAGGTTTGGTTCAGATATTCGTCACTGGTGTTGGTGGCCGTGAGCGGGGATCGAACTCAGATGGTAGAGCAGCACGCTAGCTGCTACACCATAGTAGCCCCACACCACACATTTTCAGGTGTGTTATGTAACTTTTAAGGAGGACTGCCTGTCCATCCTTAAAATGGTTATAATGAAGGTTCATTACATTCACTAATTTGTGCAATTTGAAACAACAGCAATGCACGTCTGCAACATATTACTTGTTTTATGCGCAGAATGTTTTAATCACGCAATGATTTATGTCGCCATTAAGTGAGGAATGATGACTATTAAGCAGAACAGACGATGTTTTACATGAATGCGATTAAATCGAATTTCATAATATGTGCAAACAGAGTGAAGGGAAATGCAATTTATATAATGTTTACATAACGTTTTCTAACGGGGGAACATTAACAGTGTAAAGTTAATTGCCCCACTTATATAATTAAATTTCTTTCACGGGTCCACGCATTACAAAGTACGAATTAACTTCAGTAAAGCTTGATAGCTGTTATCTAGGTAATACAGGGGATGTTTGCGCGTATTTAATGTTACACCGTAGAATGTCTGAGCGGGCCCTGTTTAGCAAGCCGCCCATTAAGGTGTGAAAATCAGACACGAGGACACATTTTGTCCTCGTGAGAATTCGTTTGCTTTGAAGGCGATGGGCAATTTTAACAATATCGCTGCCGATGTGTATTTTTCTTCTTCGAGTTGTGCTGCATGTTGCTGGACACGTTGTCTGGATGTCTCTCTCGACGTGTGCGCAAACATCTTCGAGAACTTCTGGTACTGAAGCGAAACGTAGAACATCGTGCCGAACGACGTGCCGCACACTACAACCGATCAGTTCGCTCAACCAATAGTGACAGTGGCCAGGAGCAAATATAAATCTTCTCTGGAAGGAAAAAAACAAAACGTGTGCGCATCACAAAACCGCATTACAAAATGATATGATATTAATGTTAATGTTTAACATTTTCCAAGCTCTGTGGTCCTCTAAATATATTAAGATGTTTTCAGACAATGAATGAGTAATTATACATGTGGGAGGAGCACCCGGAGAAAACGCAAGCATGTGACGGGACAACACTAGTTCCCATACAGAAGGGACAGATAATATGAAGTTATTTTTTCGTGACACGCTTGACGTTTGTCCACTTTGCACTCCTATAGTTTTTTGTATCGTTTGTTATTGTAACTTGCTGACCCGCCCCGAATGGACAACTATGAAAAAGAGCTTCATAGCTTGTTGGATTCCTCCTTGATAAATAAAGATTCTGATTCTGATATTATTCCACGCTTTCGCTTTAACGAATTATCTTGGCAAGCAATGCAGGGTGCGGCACCTCGACACCCACGGGAAGGGAGCTTCACAACATTTGTGCGATCCACCAACCCTTGCCTGCGCAGTGCGTAGCTACTACCGCCACAGTAGTCACCACCGCTCAGCTGTTGTTTAAATCATGAACCTCATCTTAGAAGAGGCATTGTAAACGCCATGCACATCATTTTTATACAGTCTTCAGTCGCAAACATCACATGCATTTAGGTTCAGTATAAATAACTGATGCACAGTGCTCTAAAGGCCACATGAAGCCTTTGAAAACTTGAAGAAGCATGTTTTGCACGCGATTTTTACTTTTATTTTTAAGTTAATAAATATTTTACATTTGCTTCAAAATGTAATTCCCCTTCTACGATGAAGGCCTCTCCGCACCGTGGTCATGTGACTTGTTTGACCATACTTCACCACGCCCGTCAATATGGATTTTTGTGAATTGGGGAACGGGGGGGGGGGTTGACCAGAATCTGTTCAAATAAGACTATCCAATTTTTCAAAATGCTGACTCTCCACCAATCTCCTTCATTTCTCCTCACGGTCTCCCAGCCGACTCCTCATTTCCACTTAGTTTTCCCTGACGACCAATCCGATTTGAATGTTCTCCACTTTTTTTTAATGTTCTCCACATTCAAATCCAATTGGCCATGCCCTACGTCGGCTCCACCTGTGATAGCTCGTCACCATAAAGAATCGAGCACGCTATTTGAACTCACCAACCGTTAGACGCTTTGGGTGTACATTCATTTGGCTCCTAATAGGGTTTGCCTCTCGGCATCCCTTACATAAGGATTAGCACGGTGGACTTTCAAGTCATAGTTTAACACGAAGTAGGCTCTCGCGACCAATATCATCCGTAAAATAGGTTTCTTGGATTTCAATCCAAAGATCGCCGGTCCGATTCGATCTCTCCGTGAAGCAGTTAAAACACAGTTTCTTAAATGCCCTGTCTCTGTCCAACCAGCAGTATAAATGGGTGCGCCACAGTTCGTAGATTGTACGTATGTATGTATGTTTAACTTCTTTCGCACCGTACGTAGCCAATCGTGCTAATCGGAGGTACGGGGGACGGACAACCCAACTAAGCACGTAGGGGTACAGTGTGCGTACTCTCACTTCTTCCAAGATCTCAAATACCCTCTCGAGGAGGGGCTCTTAAGAGCTCCCTATAGTGGAGGCCTTTCTGCCAGTGGTGGGGTGAACAAACATTTGCGGGGCGACACCTTTGTTTTTTTCCAGCAGCGCTTTGTTTCTGCAAGTTGGCATGCGTTGGGGCTTCTTCGTCCACGCCACCCAGCTCTCCCCTGCCCCTTACATCCTCGTGCCGTCCACCACCAGACGGGGCTGATTCGGCTGCCTCGGGGCGACTACTTCATCGAGCCTCTCACGGAGCCTCCCGGCCAGGGGACCAGCCAAGGGCGGCCGCACGCCGTCTACCGCCGGCACGCCGGGGCCAGCAGCCCTCTGCGCGCCAACCGGACGTGCGCCGTGCCAGGTGACATCCGAATTGTGGAGATTTTTTTACATCCACCGCACCGCAGCTGTAGCTGTTGTCATCGGGTGCGCTCCTCACACCGTGGCCACCGCCAGCGAGCGATGCTGCTCCTCCGCTCGTTGAGCTGCCCACAGTGTCCGTGGCAGGTGAGCCGTCGTGTCACCGCATGACGGCTGGGTTGTCAAAGCGCGCGCCAAGTGAGCTCTTGAGACGTGTGTCCGGTGGGCACACGTCGCGCAATCTCGTCGCTCTGTGTAGCAGGCGAGCCGCGGCATCGCCGGTGTACGCGCACAATCGTTGAAGGACGGTTGTGTTGAGTTTTCGTTAATCGTGCTTGTGCACCGCTGCCAACGCAGTATCAGAACAGCTGTTGTGTGATTTAGAAGCGATGTAACTTCTCACGTGAACATGTTGAATAATGTTGTTGTTTACCACACGTTTATTTTATGATGATGGGCTTTGAATTTAGAAAGCTTGTGTCCCAATCGTGTAAACTGCGGGGGTGGTTTTTTTTTTACTCTCTAAAACATTTTTATTTTTTTCCCAGACATTGCTTTGTCAAGGGTTTTGCATCTGTGAGCATCGCTGTTTAATGATGTGGAGGAGTGTGAGGGTACTCCGTATCTCCGTTTAATAACCCGGGCGGCGCGTCAACAACTCCTAATCAGGACCGGGAGCCAACATCGCAGCCCACATGGGTGTCTGAGACAAAGAAACTAAGAGCCCAGCAGCCACGGGACAAACACTGTTTGCCCTCGGAAAGGAAATTAATAAACATTCCTCGGCCAAGAGTAATGGTGACAATGACCCAGTGAATTACAGGAAGTCGCAGCTCAGGCTACGAGTGATCATTCTGTGTCAGGATTATGGTGGGAGTGTGCTAATAGAGAGACACACAAACACATAGATAACTTATAAAAATTGTCAAACAAACATACTCTACAAAGCCTCCCATACCACCCAATTTGACATTTCATTTCATTTTATTACTGCCCATAGAGGATTTTTATTCTAAAGATGTGGAAATTTAAATCACCCAAATAATCTAAACGCATGATTATCAATGTGGAGGGAAAAACTGAAGGAGAAAATTCCCCACAACCACGTGGAGAACATGCACACTCCAAATATACAGGCGTCATGGTTAGGGTTGAACCCACGGCCTCCTGTATACCAAGCGAGTTAGTTAACATCTCGCCACCGTAATTGTCCTTTGGTTTGAGCAGCAGGATCGATTCCTGACCAGGGGGTAGCATATCCCATCATCACCATCATTATCCCTTAGAAGTTGGTGATGTAGGCTTCGGCTGAGAGGTGACCATGAGCAATACATTCTTAAATCTATCTGTGCAGAGCATTGAACCTTATCCTTTCATATCCGTGAAATTTCTTCAGTTATCTCATTTCCCATGGCAAGACTCTCCTGAAACTGGGTCTTGAGACCCAGTCTGGCTCTTGGTCATTAAAGGACATTCATATTGTTGTTATTGTTATGACAAAATGAAGAATGCCTGTTGAGGTCGCACCATTAGGTGCATGGTAGCCACCAGTGGTTTGTCCTGTTATAACAGCCAAATACTCTAATCGGAGAAAAATCCACGCCACCATGGGGAGAGAGACATGCAAACTCCATATATACAGGCGTTTGTTGTAGGGATCGAACCCACGATCTCCTGTATTCCAGGCGAGGTAATTAACATTTCGCCACCGCGGCTGCTTCTGGTGACATCGTGCAGCTTACAACCCGAAAAACACACGAGAGAGCTATTCAGCACGACCGCAAAAAAAAAAAACCTCCGGCAAGTTGTATTCCATCGTGGTGTTCGATCGAGCAACTGTTTTGTGCTCGGGTTTCACTGAAAACAACAACAACGGCTGGGGGACACGATGTCACGCTCCCCAAAACCCACTTGGCCCCACTGTAAACATCTCTCGGGTTGCCTAACGGGCACTACTTCACGTCACATTATTAGATAAATATGTAGATTTGTAAGTGCATAAATAATCACCACAGCCGCGATAAATAGCACAGGATGTTCTTGTTAAGAGACATGTTTCATTTTGCGAGTTTCCGAAAAGAGTTGTAACATTTATGATTTGCTTCATATGAAACCCATCAGACACCCCGCATACGGTCTCATTATCTCTGTATAAACAGTGCTTATGAGTTGCTATCAATTGAGATACAAAAATATAAGCCTTAGTTTCACGAAGTTTTTTTTTATATATAAACACGACAAGGTTGTTATTTTTCCTGGAAAAGATATTTTTTATATCGATCATCCAAGAAAGCTTTGTTGTGCGCCGCAGATAAATTATTTTTACATTGTATGGTCGAATGTGAGGCACCATTGATAGGGTGTGTGTGGCTTTTTTAGTGTGACAATGATTCACTTGTCAATATACATTTGTTGTGTCACTATCACAATGTCTGGGCCCCATTCTCGTGAAATTGCAAACAAATTACTATTATCCATTGAATTCAAACTTGTTATGATTGGTTGAGAAAGAGCACTCGCTGTGCAAGCCTGTGTCCATTTCATCGACGTTCAATGGGAAAACTTATTTGTATTACGTACATGAGACATGGCTAGCGGTAGCTGCTTGTTGCAGAGGTTCACGGTTCGAATCCAGTGGCTGTCCTGGTTATCACTGCGAGCGAAATTAACTGTAAAAATACTATGCTCTGTCTGCTTTCCAGTGGACGTTAAACATCCCGTGACGTCCTTCGCCAAGTGTAGGCCATTGTGTGCCAGCGTCATGTTCCAAATTTTCCAATTAAAAAAAATCGCGCAAATGACCAAGTCATAGCCGGCGGCGGCCACTGGATTTGAACCGTGAACCTCTGCAACGTGAAACCCCGTGCGGTTTCCCTGGGTAACAAGCATGAATTAATACATGACAATGAAATAAGGTCACACTCAACTGCAAACCTGGTGACCTGATGTCAATCACTGGTAGATAGTTCAATCTGAACCGGTGCCTCCAATGATTCACAAGAAAGGTCAAACAGAATTCCATGACCAAACCAGCAGTGGATTTACCAAAGGGTTGTACATTATTATCGGTTGCTTTCAGATGCGCTTCTGCGGCGGTCTGGAACGCTTTTCCGATATTGGGAAGCCACTGAAGCTATGCGCTTTTAAATCATCTAGATTGAAAACTCATTTCTTTAGAACCGCTTTTTGTGCTCCGTTTGTTGTCGTTCCTCCGCACCTCCGATTAGCACGGTTAGCTACATACAGTGCGAAAGAAGTTCAACGTACATACAGACCTTATAAACAGTATACAATTGTGCATATACAGGCCCTCCACTGCTGTTTTCTGTTGCCAAGCATTTAAAATCAAACCTAGTCTGCATGAGAGGCCACCTTTATGAGATCTAGAAGCAGTTTTCTGATGTATGCTTCTGTGGACCATTCTCTTAACGTGAGACAGATTAACTGCCCTGCGAGAGTGTCGAATGGGTTCTTTCTCGTATGACGCAATGGCGATATCAAAATCGGGATGAAGTTTTTGAAAAATATATATAAAGTTGCATGTTTAGCCACGGATTTCATAACTGCCAAGCGGTGTTGGAAGGGTCACGCACTGTTGGTGTTCATATCTGCGGGCATCGTGTGTCGCCGGTCGGCTTCCATGAAAACTGCGCCACTCAAAACAACATCGGAGATGTTAGCGTGGACTTCAATAACAATCAAGTAATTTCCCACTCACTTGTTGGGTGTAATAAAGTGGCCACTTTACCCAGGGGAATTAAAACATAAAACCCGGTGGCTGTAATTGGGGTAATTTAGGTGGAATTTGATCAAGTCAGCTGTTGATCCCCCCCCCACTTCCAGCCTCCTTTTGTCAGTTTCCTTCAGGTCCGGTGTTTATTTTGTGGCACGCAAGGCAACCCCCCACCCACCTTATTGCTAATGTGCTGCACGTAAACACAATTAAAGAGGTCCTCCCACATTACCCATATACGCTGTTGAGGCAAGTGCTGTTCGCGAACACATATTGAGGCCATCGGTGATGTGGCCAGCCAGTGCTGACGCTAACATACTGCACTATGCACCGCTCCAAGTACTCGTTATCGGCTGAGTCAAGCTCGAGGGAAAGCCCAGGACAGGTTCTGATGCCACTCGCCACTGGATAGTAGCCATGTCTTGAAATTGAATGCAAGTCACTGGGTTCGTGACTCAGTTTACGAGCCACTTGTACCACCATTCCGCGCAGACACAGCTACGCGGGCATACAAGTTTAATATTTGCAGCAGCAACAACCCAAAAAAATATCCCCACTACTTAGGTTATGCCTCACTGAAAATGAGTGCTGGTGCTCCGTGAAAATATGAGTTATTCATCGACATTTCCAACCAAAATGAAGGAGAGTTGCGCCAGCGAGAGTGGAAGCACTTCTCAGTGTGTGTGGGTACGCTGGGGTGGCAATAGAAGGCCGACGTGGACTGAGCCCCCCAAGAAAACAAGAGACCAGAACCAGTAAAAAAAAAAACATGTTAGCGGGAAATCGAGCTTTCAGTTTGGTTCCTCCCGTATCATCACCTGTGATACGAACTTACCATTTTGTAGGGGGTGGGGGGAAAAGTATGGGGAGGGGGGGGAGGGATGAGGAAGAGGAGGGGGGTCAAGACCGAACATTGGAAACAGCCAGAGGTGAGTGAGTTTCTGAGGGGTATCAGATCTCCCCACGAGACAAGGACCACTGCTGGGAATTCCTGTCCGTTAATGACCCCGTGGGACAAAAAATGTGCAAAATCGACACTTCTGTTGCTTTTTACCGATCTCTTATCTTCTTTCATACAGATTGATTACAGCAGCTGCCATATCGGTCTATATTTTGCAGCCCGAAGCCATCTTCACTTTTGGATTAGTGTCATGGCCACACCACAATGCAATGCAACGCTGTGGAGGTTATATCACCGGAGTAGATAGCTGCAGACTTCACGTAAATAAATCTCTATGGAAGTGAACGGTTTTCGCTTTTAATCGAGAAGATCTCTATGAGAGTAAATGGCATTCTCTTTAACGACAGTGAATGATAGTTACTTTACCAGAACTTATAATATAAATACGCAATTTAACGTGGCTTTCACTTTAAATGTATAGATTTTTAGCGAAAGTGAATGAATGTCACTTTAAACAAAATATCTACAGATGTGAACGGAGATGTATTAGGATGCATCAAAATGTTGTGCTTATGTTGATGTCTGTGTTTGACCAAATCATCTGATCAAACCTTGGAAGCTAAGCAGGTTTGAGTCTGGCTATTGTTTGGATGGTTGTCCACTATCCATAAAAACATAACAATTGTGATACTGCATTGGCAATGGTACACGAGCGCAAATAACAAATTTCAGCACAATCTTCCACACTTAGGATTTGTGCGCAGCTATTAAAACTAAACTATTACAACTAAACAATTTATTTTTATTTTGCCACGTAATGCCTACTGAGATATGTAGCTCTTTTTCAGAAGCGACCTGGCCACAAATGATAGCTCAACAAAGTGGCTTATCACGTGGAATTTTACTCTAAACGGACGTTGATGCTAAATGTGGAGGACCTAGAGAAAAATCCCCGCGACCACGAGAAGAGAGAGACATGCAAACTCCAATTATACAGCAGGCGTCATGGATCTGGATCGAACCCACGAGCTCCCGCATACCAGGCGAGGGAGTTAACATCTCGCCACGTTGTCCTCGTCCGCCAGACTCGCCGGTGGAGGCGAACCGGGTGGAGCTGCACCGCGAGCGCTGGGAGGAGCGGCGGAGGCGGGCGATGGTGCCGGGGAGGAAGATCGTGGGGCGCTCGCGGGAGGTCAGCCACGAGCGCTGGGTGGAGGCCCTCGTCGTCGCCGATGACAAAATGGTGGACTACCACCGTAAGGGCAGCACCGAGGCCTACGTCTTCACCATCATGAATATGGTGCGGCGCCAGGAGCAAGGGCAGTGCTGATCTGAGTGTTTTCTTTTTGTTTGGAAAGTGGAGGTCACTTACTTGTTTGTGTGTCTTGTGTGTATGTGCGTGTGAGATACATCCGGGCAGATGAGGTTGCGTTATCTGGGACATATGAACCGCATGCCCGATCTCCACATGCCCAAGCAACTTCTGGCTGGATAGAGGGGGCTAAATAGGCACGACATGGGCAGGGAACGAGATGGGCTGATGTGGTACAGGAGGATGTGGAGCTGGGGTGGACTTGCTGACGACTGCTACCAGCGGTGTCAAGATAGGCCTCTGTGGAGGAGGCTTGTAAATGACACTAGTGGCTAGTTAGATGCAGCTGCCATTTTGCCCTAAATAAAGCCTTACTCACAGACAATTGCCCCAAGAGTCTACTAAATTCTATAGGGATCTCTGTCTCTTTGTTTCATACACCACTCCCTTGTGTGCCATATTTCCTTAATAGGTGCTTTATAAGAGCACTTTCCCCTCTCCGTCTCTGAGGCTAAATGGGGCATCAGTTTTTTTATATTTCCCTGCCTTTCATCACACTTCACTCCCTACTTGAGAAGACTTTCCATTGTTGTTTATATATTTTTTTAATCACTGCTCTGCAGTTGTGCATAAGTTATGGTGCATTGCCAAATTCGACTTTGAGAAAGATTTCAAAGGATGTTTGCCAATCTAATGAGGCATTTACATTTAAGAGACAGAAAAACAGCAATAAACATGAACGCCGACATACATAAAAGCCTAACATTTTAGTTTTTACGAATGCGATGGAACAAGCGAATTGAATTTGGGGCTCGCTACATTGTAAGTAGATAAAGTATACGTAACATAAACTAACTCTCAACATGTTTTGATCGCTCCTCCACGTTTTCTCATAAGTCACACGAAGTTTCATATGGGCGTGGAATGCATTAACTCAGTCAGCGGAGCAGGTGCATTGGTGAATCAAAGGCGCTAACAACGTAAACTTAACTTGAAAGTCAGGGGCCTTGGTCGAATGCCAAGACCACGTCTAAAAACCTCACCCGCAAGGATTCGGGGTCAAAGGCAAGTTTGGAAGTAACGAAAGGTTGCCCTTATCTGCCGGTGCTATTTTGCTGCGACAGTAGCAAATGGCACCTGCAGGCTGCGCCATTGATACCGTGCGAGAGAAACATTTCAGTGTTCGTGGGGTACGTCAACACGAACGTCAGCACCACGTTGTGACGACAACCACACTAATGCACAACTGAAACAATTGCCTGCCTTGCTAACATCACCCCGACTGGAGGCGTGCACAAGGGATCTTGCTGTACTGTGGACAAAGTAGCCTTAGTTGTGTTTTTTTTTTTAGATGTTGAGGCAAGTGGTCCTTTTTGGGGATTGCCAGACCAAATAGGTTGAGAACCACCGTTCTTAAGCCTCACCTCAATAAAAACTGATACACTCATCCGCAGCATAACTCAAACAATCACCGTAAAATAAGGAGCCTCTGCATTTTGAAAGCATTTATTTTAAATCCCTGCTGGACTGCTGATCGAATATTAGTGATCCATAGCTCGCTCTGTGGGTGGCATCGTAGCGAAGGTTTGGTTCATTTCAGAAGCACTTAAAACAACAAAGGAAACACCACAGGCCTCATGATTTACGCTGCACCTGCGCAAACATACAATGGATCACACGTGGCGGTGCTTTGTTGCATCAAAAAAGTTTAAAAGGCTGTTTTTCCTCCCACTCTTTCATATACAATCTTTGAACGATTACGGGGTCATGGAGTGCTCACAATCGGATCAAGCCTGTGAGGAAAACTGCGAGAATATATTCCATGAATTTCATTAAAAGTTGCTCAAATCGTACTGAACAATGACCTTCATGGGCATATAGAGTTCTGTTGTATTGCTCGTAGAGAAAAACATCATTCGGAACCACCTGATGGTCAAGTATCCAGCTTATTGTCAACCATGCAGAGAAAGCAACAGATTCGCTCGGATTGGTGGAAACTGCCAGAGCAGTGGCCTGGAGTTGTTTAAATGGCCAACGTTTCTACAGACTAACAGTTGTGCAGCTTCAGGGCCAAGAGGAACCACCCATTACATTCCGTCAAAGGCCTGGTAAGAGCCCTTTGTAGGCTCAAGGGTATAATTAATATCACTAGACCTAATATTAATTTTGGCTTAGTCCATAAACTGCACACTATTACTTGTTATTATAACGTGACATTAACTTATCTTGCCATTTTATTCTATCAATTGAGGTATGTAAGGACCGTAAGGTGTTTTGCGATTAAAATGCGGGCGTGGGTCTGAGTCGGGGGGCGTGCCATCGAGGGGCAGCTCGAACATCATTGATGGAGTGCAGCCGCTCGAATTAAGGCGGTGAATCTGCAAGCGAGCAACCCTGATCGGAATTCTGAGATGGATTTTCAATTTTCATCAGTGTGCCGCACTCTGAATAAGATGGATTTAATTAAAATTCCACTTTACGTGCCTTTTTGGGCTCTAATATGGCAGAAATACTTTTGTGCGTTACTGTTAATTTCATAATTGCACTTTTAATTACGCGTTCATGGTCGCCGTTTGCCTGAAACTTTTTGGGTCATTGCCAGGGCAAATCCATAGATGTCATATCTAAATCGCACCCCCAATTAAACCGACGTGAGTGAATGTTTCATCAAGTGCTATTTCCTCCGAGAGTATAAACCTGCGGTGGAGTGATTTAATAATTATTTCAGGCACGACACTGAAGTGGTATTTTATATCAGCGATGCTTGAAATAAAATTACAGACGCAGGGATTTCACTTAAATATTGGAGGATGCCAAAAAAATAATATTTAATATTATGATCTGTCGTCACCCCAGCCTACTCAGGCTGATGCCTTTGCTGCCAGTTTCAATCGCATATTTTACAACATGGCTTGAATCCCTACCTCGCCTTAGCTGAGACTGCATCCCAGGGAACATGTAATTGTAAAAAAAAATATTTTAATCAAAGTCCATCCTTGAAATTTCAGCTGTCCTCAGAAATTGTGAATCCTTGAGAGCGTGTAGCAGAACCGCTCTCTCGCCATTTGTCTTCTGCCAGGCGTACCTATAGTGACAGCTGGCATACGGCACGAGAGGAGAGAGAGAGTTTTAATGAGACCGGTGATTGAGCGGAGCTGGGGCTGCTCCCGCAGGTCGCTGGATTGTTTCGTGAACCGAGCATCGGGAACCTCATCAAGGTGGTCCTGGTGCGAGTGATCCTTCTTGAGCAAGAGGAGGTGAGGCCCGGACGCGGAGTGACCAGTGGAGGCAAGAGGAGGGGAAATATTCTTCCCACTTCCCACCAAAGACGACGACACTCGGATTTCCCAGAGGAAATCTCCCCCCCCCCCCATCCCTCTTTCTCTCTCTCTCTCTCGCCACCACCCAATTATATGTTTTTATTTATTTACTTCCTTCCTGTTTCACGTTTGCAAATCTAAACGGACGTTAAAATGGATGCGTGCTCTGTATTATAAGAATAATAATTAATCGGCCACTCTTTAATTTATTATCATGCAGTTTGGTAATACCGGTTTAACAAAAACAAATATATTTTCCCGGTTGGTGTTTTTTCCCCCCCTGTGTTTCCCATGCCTCTCGTTTGTGTGCAATCAGCAAGACCTGAAGATCGTCACGAATGCTGAGAAAACTCTGGCCAGCTTTTGCAAGTGGCAGAAAAACATTAATGTCGGAGATGATTCACACCCAAACCATCACGATGTGGCCATTCTTCTCACCAGGTACAAAGACAAATATTTCCCCATGTAGCCTTTAACACACTGTTGGAGCAAGCGCTGCTTGCGACCACTTGTTAATGCCAGCATACTCATATACACGCACAAGTCAAAGATCCCCAGTACATTGCATCGATGAAGATGGTTACTGTTTGCGAGCACCTATTAAGGGCTGCACGTTGCATGATGGAGTCATGTAACCATCGTCATGCCTGACTTGTGTTGCCAAATTGCTGCACCAGATACTTATTTAAAGCTGAATGGACCTAGGGGAGGCCCACGACTGGTTTAGATATCCCTCAACACTGATGTTAGCCGACACTGGGAAATTGGTTCTCGGTTTGCCGGGTTCATAGCGCAGTGGCACAAAGCATCGGGCCATCACTGCCCCCACACACAAATGCACGCACACGCGTGCACACTCTTGAATTTCGCGTGGTCGGTAGGCTCGTGAGGGGCTCGTAACAAAAAACCCCCGAAAAATTGATCAGCGTGGGTCAATGTGACCATCGTTGTTAGTTGACTATGCAGTGGCTATGGGACAAATGATTGTGCGATCTGAAGTGCAGAGTATTGCAATTTGTAAGCAATAAAACGAATTGTATACCGTGTTCTCGGAATTATAAGACACACTTCCCCCCACCCTCCTCGGTATTTTAAAGCAAAAGTTGGGGGAGTGTGTTTTAAAATCTGCTAGGTGCGCGTGTGTGCGTGTGTGATGAGATTTTTGTTTTACTTTATTGACACCGGGCACAAGATTTGGGTGCCTCATCATCCGGAGAATACGGTAACCGTAGATACTTAGCAATTTGTTAAAGTGTATCGGGACGTACTAAAATTTTTTTTCATATATATACAGTGCAGCATAAGTTAGATGCGATCATTCAAGCAATGGTTGTGCAAATTTCTCTTGTGCTCTACATTATATAAAGAGCAATTAATTATGCACAACAATCACCTTTGCTTCTGGCAATGTAATTATAAATAGCAATCATGCAATACATGGCATGGAAAAGTTATTGGCCCTTGATGAGTACAACAATGAAGCTAAAGATTCCCCCAGTAGCCTCAACAGCTTGTTGGGACAAGGGATGTCAGTGAGCACCTATGTAGGATTTCTGAGTACGAAGACAAATATCCCTCTTATCGCCTTTAATAGACTGTTGTGGCACTTATGAATGCTGCCATGGGATGTGAAGGGGTGGGTGGCGAGCACCATGCCCAGCCACCTTTGTCGCCCAGTGCTGATATTTACACGCTGCACCAGGTGTTCGTTTAAGGCTGAGCCTTGGATTGGTTCAAATATTTGACGCTGTTATTAGTAATTAGCGGGAATCAAACTCAAGTCGCTTGGTACGTAGCGCAGCGTGATAATCACTGCAAAGAGACAAAGACAAAGACCCCCCCCCCCCCCCATATCGCCCGGCCGCCTATATCTCCCGAGTGGCGATGTTTATATATCGCACCAGATACTCATTTGAGGCTGAGTCGACCCAAGGGAGACCCAGGACTCGAGTCCCCGGGTTCGTAGCGCAGCGCGCTAACCGCTACACTGCCGCTCCCCACGACTTACATATGCGCACATAAAGGTGCAAGGGTTGTTAACAATTATGATTTCACTAAGTTACAATCCTTGAAAATCCACTGCAGGATGAAGGACTCCCCATGCCACATCAGGCATTGGAGTTGCTTTTACTGTACTGACCACGCTGGTCAATACGGGTTGGTAAAATGCGGGACCATAGATCTATTCAGATATCACTCACCAACGATGTTAGCCAAGGCTGTGAATCGAACTGAGGTCGCTGGGTTCACAGCTTGCAGCTCTACACACCATGCCACCACGTCTCACCCACTGATACATATTTGATACATCAAATACACACATTGTATTTGAGTGCTGCATTCAGTTGTCAAGATTGTCATTCGGCTAAGCAGAAACAATAGCAATTGTCGCGAACAATACTTGTTCAACGTGCTAATGAATTTGTTTTGCTGTGTCGGGTGGAGGGTTTCTAATGACACAGGTTTGGTCAGATGAATTACGTGACCTAGCCCAAAGATCAGTTATGAACGAGAACCTGAAGAGAAGAGGACAGAAAGTGTATGGTCATGTTCACACAGCTGTACGCACTGTGCCCACTGAAAACAAAGTTATAGATACGACCAAACTCCATGCAGCTCCGTGCAGAGAGGCGCCTCGTAATTTATTCCCAATTTAAATAGTGTGTTCTTGCTCAGATTACCGCCAGAAACGTACCCCGTAAAAACAAATAAAGTGTTTAAAAAAAAAGTTTTTCTCATAATATTTGCGGCAAATTTCCTCATGCAAAATATGTGTAGACGGGTTGTCAGGACTGTTTTGGATCAGATTACGGGTTGCAATGTACGTTCTCTGACACCTTCATGCAGACTTCTTTACTTCTCGAAGTCACTCACTCCCATGGCAATGGGATTATTTGCAGTGAAGGGCACTGATATCCCGGCAAGCAAATAAAGATATTTACTTTTTGCTGGAGGTACTTGCCTGGAGGTACTTTAGTGCAGCTCATATTGCGTAGCGGAAGCCGAGCAACGCTGGGTTGTGCTGAGCGGCATGGCACAAAAAACACAACCTCACTGAACACTGCTTGCCTCTGTCACCCGGTGCTCGTAATCGCGCACGTCACTGCACAAGGTACACATTTTTGGCTGGGTCAACTGCTGAGAGGCCCAAGCAGGTTTCGTATCAACTTTGTTATGTGGCGGGACCATGAGAGATAGTGACCACTTGGGGAGGTCTTCATCCAACAGTCATTTGAGCACGGTCGAGATGTTTGCATGCTCAGAAAACTGAACTCAACCCCACAGGATCTTTGTGCGGTCTTCTCACTACCACACCAGAGATGCGTATATGATAGCTTTTACAGAGATGCACACGAGTACAAAGGCAGCAAAGATTCCTCTCATAGCCTACATTGAGTGGTGGCGTAAGTGTTCCTTTGCAAGGCCGGGCATGGCGCTCGAGGATGGAGTGTGGCAAGTACTAGGCCTGAACGATTTGGGGAAAATATCTAATTGCGATTTTTCTGACAGATATTGCGATATCATTTGCGGTTCCATTTTTTAAAGACAAGCTTCAGTTCAATATTCACTGTGTAATAGATTTAAAACGTGTGATGGAGCATTACCACATGATACTATCAAAATATGAATTGCTCTCTATATATTCTAATGCAGGGATGAGAACTTACAGGTATGAATTGCTTCCATCATGTATTTATTGAAATGTTTTAATTGAAATAAAACAATCAAAGATAGAACAATTGTTAAGTTAAATAAATAAAGTTATTAATAATAACACAAAAATTCCAATAAGAAAGTAACAGAACTTTTCAAATCGCAAAAAATCGCAGCCTTTGCGATTTGCTAATCGCATTGTTCCAAAATTGCGATTTCGATTTGAAATCGATTAATCGTTTAGCCTTAGCAAGTACCGTGCCTGGCCGGCCTTTGCCTCCCCAGTGCGAATGTTTACGATGCCACACCAAGGAGGCTCAGGGGCAATTCGAATATCACTCGCTACTCATGTAGCTACTAATGTAGCGAGTGATATTTATTATGCTACTAATGTAGCGAGTGATATTCGTGGCTGGGAATTGAACTCACATTGTTGGATTCACAGCACAGTTCCGTTCCCTGGCCCACCCCGGCCACCACCATATTTGAAATTAGGACATTTTTTGTATATGAAATGAAAAAGAAACAACGCATAATGGTAGATTATAAGACGAACCTACTTTTCTTTGAAGTAAGTTTCCCTGCGGCATGTAAAGCACTTCAAAGCAAATACACGAAAAATGCCGTACAAATGCATAATAATACCATTTTAAAGATGATAATGGTGGTGTACGGGTTGCTCTGTAAGCTATCATTTTGTATATCATCTCAAAGAAGTGAGCCAAGATCAGTAAAATCGTGGCTATGAATCTAGTTTTTAGCCATTGGTGATTAACCTGGGTTCTGAAGTGTAGCCATTTGATGTGTCTTAGTCCAGTCACAAACTGCTTTCCAGCACTTGATTTTTATTATTCTAGTTCTGAGATTTACACTTTCTGAGTTGACAGGCATGCAATGAACACTATTCAGGGCATATAAAGGTATAGCCACAGTGCAAGATTTTGTTAGTGACTCATAATTAGGTCTTTGACATCATCTTTCTGGGTCATACTTTGACTCGTGGTTGTACACAGCTAGCTGTGAGAGTTTTGAACAGATAGCTATTGTATCATGACGTAACACTGATTGCACAATTGCAATTAACTAGAAGAAAAACATGTATCATGATGATGACACTGATGATGACAGTGCTAACAGTTATGATAATGTTTGTAATAATTATGAAGACGTCAGTGATAATGATGCTGATGAAAATTATGATGAGAAATATGATGATGCAACTATGATAATGATGTGTCTGATTGATGATGATGATGATGATTCAATGATGACGGTGATAATTATGCTGATGATCATGACACTTATGAAGATGATGCAAACAATAAAATGCTGCTGTCCGATGCCGCCGATGATGACAAAGAGGATTATGACAGTGATGATGATGATGACGACGATGACGATGCTAAGAAGAACGACGATGATGATGACGATGACGACGACGATAATAACGATGGTGACAGAGGCGGTGCCGATCCTTTAACCCAAGGAGGGAGCTGTGCGCGGGGCGGGGTGAACCGTGCGGGACCCTGGGTCTGTCGCACCTCTCGGGGATGTGCGTCCCGCAGCGCAGCTGCAACGTGAACCAGGACATGGGCCTGCCCCTCGTCTACACGGTGGCGCACGAGCTGGGGCACAAGTGAGAAACGCCGCGATCACCCAATCGGTTCCACCGCGCCTCGACCTGGCACCACCGCATGCGCTTACCCGGCTCAAGCTACCACCCTCCGTCCTCCGCTCGCCACCCGCCACTCATCGTCTTTACTTTGTTTTTTTCTAAAGCACTCTAACCCCCTCCTGTTTTCTGTACATCACAATTTGTATTCAACGTTGCCTTAAGGAACTGCGCCAAGTATACATACTCTGGTTTGTTTACAGTTGTGTTCCTCCAACAGATATGTTAGATTGCAAACTAATTTCTTTAGAACTGCTTTTGTGTGTTTAATTTGATGTCCCCCCCCCAGTACCCCCGATTAGCACGGTTGGCTATGTACGGCATGAAAGGTCAACATACATACATTTGAAGTGATTTTGTTGGTATTGGTGGTGATTGTGATAATGATGATAATGATATCACAGATTCTGACGGCGGTCGTGGCAACTTTGATGCCGGTGGCCGTGTTTGATGCCGTACCGATTCTGACAGTTGCGGGCGGTGCTGATTCCGGTCCCGGTGACACTTGCTGGCGGTTGCAGTCGCAGGTGGCGGCAGCGGCAGCGGCACCGGCACCGTTTCCGGCGGTTGTTGCAGCTCCGATTCTGCTGCCACTGCTAATATTGGTTGTGGGTGACTCGCGACCGCGGTCGTGTCGGCGTGCAGCCTGGGCATGCGCCACGACGGGCAGGGCAACGATTGCGAGCCCGGGGCGTTGGGCCACCCGCTCGTCATGGCACCGCACATCGTCTACGACTCGGCCTCCCTGGGCTGGTCGAGCTGCAGCCGGCAGTACATCACGCGCTTCCTCGAGTGAGCCCATCCTCATCCCCCATGCCGCACGCAGGGCCCACTTCTGTCTGCTCCGATCGTTCGAACGATTTGCCTGTTGTTTAATCCTCGGTCGCTGGGCCGTTGAGATGTCACGTCGCTTTTCCAAAGGGAGATCTGGGTGTATATATATATGTACTTGTGTATGTCTGTTGAACTTCTTTCGCACCGTACGTAGCCAACCGTGTCAAATCGCAGGTTGCTGAGCGCAAGCCCAAAAGGACGAAAAATGCCGAGCGAACAGCAACAAACGGCGCCGTGGAAGTTCCAATCGATAATGAGTTAATACCATTCATGAATTGAGCAAGGTGCTGAGAATTCGGGGGAAAGAGACGATGGGAGGGAAGCACAGAGAGTCGAGCAGCGCGTGGAAAGAAGCAGAAAGAGACGTGGTGGGAGCTGTAGTGCGGTGGTTGAACACTGTGTGGGTGAGATGAAACAGTGAGTTTCTGGAAGACCGAGTGCCCAACATGGGCACTGGAAATGCGAAAAGTTCACAGAAACAGTAACCGTGGTATTAGCGATAAAAGAGTCAGAAGGATGTGACTGACCAACTGCTGAGAAATTCACCGGAGTGAATCAATGTGCGTGCTGGATCATCAGTAAACTATACATTTTGAAGACAAGGAGATATCTAAAGCATTTCCTGTACGTTCGTACGGTCTGAGCAGTGAAATCCAGCAGTTTATTAAACCTGAAACGGGGTGGGGGGGGGGGGGGGTACGGTTTTCATATTTTCATTTAAAACAGATGCCATAACGTCTCGTGTACGACCCGCCGTATCAAACTTCAAAAGAGACTTTAACACAATTTCGTGAACGTGAACAGTCATTTCCAGTGGAAGAAAAAGAGGTACAGGTTGTGTGAAGCAGCTTCGGCCGATTTTAAAGGCGACGTGCAACACCGATGACAATAGACAACGCTGCAACGACAATTTAGACAGCTGGCTGTTATGCCACGAAGGTAATTGTCCTCGGACAAAAAATAAAACGACTTGAATCGTTCCAAGTAAACCCAATGCACCGGTGCTGTGTTTGTAGATACTGACAGGGCCAACATGCTCGGAGAAAAAACAGGTGGCACGGAAATGTTATGCAGCGTCCCGAAGGACTTCACTCCATTGCCCCTCTCTGTCTATCCCGGTCCCAAAATAATGACCATTATAATAGCACATTAGTGCTAATATTAGCATTGATACATTAGCAGAGTATTGCTCTGGGGCCTAATTAACCCGTCAACGCCCTCACATCTGCTTATCGGGCGAATGCCAGACCGCCACAGCGAGTGTGAAGAATAATATAACGTGAACTGCCTTTGACCACATCACCCAGAATCCGCCCGATTTTTGTCAGATTTTGGAAGACAAGCAGGGTTGAGCCTGGATAGCGTCTGGGATGGGGTGACCATCATCTAAAAAACAGTTGATTCGGCCATGCTGCTGGCAATTAACAAAAAAACACCAACACACTCGCCGCCAACAACACCTTACCACCTTAAAATAAAAAATATATGTTTCGGTGACGCATTGGACAATGGCCATTCTTCATGCACAAAACAGGTTCCCATTGGGCTGCGAGTCTACGTGGTGGTCAGCAGAAAGGCAGATCAGCAAAATTCATTGTTGTCCTGGACATCAATGCTCCCTGCCTTAACCATCCATCATTGACCAGCGTGGTAAAGTATGGTGATGTGGAAGCCCTCGTCCAGCAGTGGATTGGTGCATATGTAGATGCACAACAGTCAGTGCTTAGTGCACCACACACATCAAGTACTGTACTGAAGAAGCTTGATTCCATATATCACTCGGCCTTAAGATTTGCATTGAACTGCCCATATAGGACTCACCAACTGTGATCTCTACATTGGGTCAAACTTAACATCTCTTAATGTTCGACGGCTTGTGCACCAGATCTTATTTATTCACGATGTACTTGCAAAAAAATCCGCAGACTACCTGCTGGATCTCCTCTCTGTTTCAAAGAACAAATTTGACCTCAGGTCTTCGCTCATTTACCAGCTTCACATTCCCTATTGCCGTACAAAAACTAGAGGAAGGGCCTTTGCTATTGATGCCCCCAGGGTCTGGAATGCTATTGCCAATAAACTGCAACTTGAATCACTACCTATGAGATCTTCACTCAAAACTGCTCTAGAGGAGTTGTACACCCCTAGCTGCCACTGCTATTCAGTGGCCTAAAATAAAATAAAATGTTTCGCTCCGGATGACCGCTGCAGAGTATTATCTGTATTTTGATTTAGCGTGCTGATCTTAAAGGTGCATTGATAAATGTGATACTCCGACTGATGTTCCTGTTGTTGTGGAGTGACTCATGCAGGCAGCTATGGCTTTAGGGTTTGGTGTTACATGTTATTTATGTAGTTTATTGTAAAAAAAATCGGTCACAGTCCCTATGATCACTGTTACATTGCATTTATGGCTTTATTTTGGTTATTTCGAAGACGTTTTTTGGTTTGGCCATGTTTTTTGTTTATTGTAGTACGGAGTTAGACTGATGGCCTTAATCTTAGTTGTCTTGTGGTTGTTGTTGTTGTTTGACTTGCATCCCACTGGGATTTTTGCACACAGCGTTGGTGTATGGTGCTATTTCAGGAATATTTTGATGTTTTTTCCTGGACTTTAAGATGTTTTCTTGTTCATGTTTTAGCTTTTTGTTTGTTGCGGTTGCACCCGATTCAAGAGCCGAATGGCTCACAGGGCTAGACCAAATAAATGGAACTATGGAACTAAATCTCTCGCTGTTTCACGCCTCTGTCCGACATCAGCCGGGGATGGGGCCACTGCCTGAACGACTGGCAGAGCCACCACTTCGTCCCCACGGGGATGCCCATGGTGCCGCCCGGAGTGCTCTACGATGCCAGCCACCAGTGCCGCCTACAGTACGGCACCACGTCGGCCCACTGCCCCAGGATGGGGGTGAGTTTCCGGCGCAGCGGCTCGTTAATCGGCGGGGGGCCTCCCGCTCATGGTGCGTCGCGCCGCACGCCGCAACGCACCATGAGCGGCGCCAGCCAGGGCTTAAATTTGTTACCTAATATTTCTCGGGTTTCTTTTATGTATACATGTATGTATCTTGAACTTATTTCGCACTGTATGTAGCCAACTACGCTAATCGGAGGTGCGGGGAGGAAGGACAACAAACTAAACACAAAAAGCAGTTATAAATAAAAGAGTTTTCAATCTAGACTTAAAAGTGCTCATCTCCAGTGGCGTCCTAATATAGGAAGGAAGAGCATTCCAGACGGCCATTATGTATGTATGTTGAACTTCTTTTGCACCGTACGTAGCCAGCCGCGCTGATTTGAGGTGCCGACTGCAGTAAGCATATGATTCGTAGCCAGAGCCACTAGTGGAGAGGGACATCGGACGTGGTGTGCAAGGTATGGAAATATCTTCCTCGTAAAAAGATACGGACGGACCTATCTGAAATGAATTCCAGAGTAGCGCCAACTTAACCTCCAGAACACGTGTTTCCACCTCACGTCTTCCTAACCTTTGACCTCCCACCTTGTGACCGTTTTCAAATAACATGTAACCCTCTTAATGCTTCTTACTCTCAGGCCCGGTGTTAATGCAACTGGTGCCCTAGATTGAGAAAGAGCACCCTTTGAAAGGGTGATTGCCCTATGCTATTCATATAAACTACCGAATAGCAGCGGCACAGTGGTTCTCACACTGCACTATAAAAACAAATGTTCTCAATGCCAATACATTTTTGGCGGCACCCCTCCACTGACTTATGCTCTGGGTAGTTGTTATAGTGTCCTACCCCCTAAGGACAGGCCTGCATACCATTTGACCATCTACCCTACTGTATATGGCCCTTGCTGTTTTCTCAGCTGTATTTCCAATTCCTGACATGTGTCACCAGCACGCTGCCAAACCTGATATATCGAAAGTGCTGACATTTAAACAGTCTGATTTTCACACGCAGTACAGCGTGTGCATAATACATATTTAAAGACGATTTGTGAGATTAAGTCCTTCCTCTCATTGTAATATGTGAAATTGTATTTATTGTTCTTGAACTCGAATCATTTTCTAATCAACTCACCAGGCTTACTCGTAGGCTCATTATTCTATATCCTTGACCAATGAGATTACTATTTTTTGGCTGTAAGGCGTTAGGCGATAATAATCCAATAACCGGGTTTGATGGCGTGAATGGACTGTGTGACTGAGCTGGTCTCTTCTTGTTCCCCTATCAATGTGACAATGAGAAATGGCCCTTTTATCTCACGTGTGCTACAGCGATATAGGATTGCTGGGCGTTATATCTCCGTGTGAAAATACACCTAGGGCAGTGTGTGGTTGATGGGTATGTAACTGTTGTTTACACTCAATCACAAGAGCTTCGGGGGCTTTGTCCCAAATTTATATGGCCCAAATTTATATGGCCCTATATATTCACTCAAGAGATCCTGAATTGTTGCCATTTGCGCTAACAAGCCTTTGCAAACAAACCATAAATGAACGCCTGTGGGTTTAATTGCTCTTTGGTTTCCCATTTATTTTATTTTCCCAGCCCCCAAAGTTTCGTTGTTGTTTGTTTTTCCCTTTTCCAGTTCACCTCTCCAGGGCCTTCCACACACCCCTTTGGCTTTTTCCCCCACGCCATCTCCTCCCTCTCTTCCCCCTGCCCCCGCCGACAGGATGTCTGCCGTGCGCTGTGGTGCGAAGTGGGAACCGCTTGCTACACCAAGTACGACGCGCCGGTGGACGGCACGTGGTGCGGCGACAACAAGGTGTGCCAGCCGCTAGGCCGCAGGCTGCCCTGCACGGCACCCAGAGATGCGCTCCGCAGGTCCCCATAATCAAATGACCGTCGCCGCCAACATCGGTGGCGAGGGAAACCTGAACTGGTCCCAGGCCAACACATTCACCAACGCATACTGACTGGCGCGGTGAAGTACGGTCAAGCAAGCCCCATAGGGCGCCACGGTGGTGAGATGTTAACTACCTCGCTTGGTATACAGGAGGTGGTGGGTTCGATCCCGACCCTGACGCCTGTTGAAAATTTGGGGTTTCCATGTTATCACCGTGGTGGTGCGGATTTTTATCCGGGTCCTCTGGTTTTCCCCTCCACGTTTAGAAACACGTGTTTCTAAACGTGGAGGGGAATTTGGCTGCTATAAATTTCCACACGATGATAAGCCACATCATTGAGCTTTTAATTTGTGGCCAGGTCACTTCTGAAAAAGAGTGATATAGTTCAGTGGGCTTTACCTGTTGAAATAAAAAAAATGGTTTAAAGTAAATAGTTATGATCGACATTCAGTGGGGAGGCCTTCATCAAGCAGTGGATTAACGAGGGGCTACAGTGCAAAGGCACAACCTGAGGCTGAACAAGAGGACAGTAAGATTAACGCTCATAATATGCAGGGGCGTCTGTATTCGCACCCTCAGTGAAACGCTGCGTGATTAGGACGAGACTCTAAATAGAGGACTTTGGAGGTCAAGTTGGTGTCGGTCGTGTAATTGCTGCTTCTGTCAAATTGTTTTGACAGAGGGAAGGAAGTTGATGTCAAGGCACGGTGGCATGCATGACATTAGTCACGATGACCTCTGTAATTCGTATTTTAGGGCCTCTTCTGCCACAAGGAGAAGCTGTCTCTGAATGGGAAGGGGGGATTGCTATTCTTAGGGGAGCACGGATCCCTTGGTTACTTTATCATTGCTGCCTCCTAACTGAAAATCGTACACTGTACTAAGCTAGCATTTGAGCAATTGTTCCTCCAATTTAATCGATGCGCGTAGTGCAAAAGCAATCAAATCGTAAAGTTACTTACATTGTACATTTGTCATGAAAAAAAATATCGGTAGATATCCATTTCGCATAATCCGCCTGCGTGCATCTTGTGTTCATAGTGCAACCTTTAACGCGAACATTTCCGCCGCAAGTTCCCTAGATTATTCGCAGGGCTCATCCAAATCACTCAATTGTTCCTGAATCAACTCCCGTTGAAAGCCAGGGAGATGTTACAGAACAGTTTATGTCTTAAGACCTATCACCTGCTGCTTTCCACCCTCACCACCACTCCAACTCCCAATGTGCATCCATATGTGTGTGGTTGCGTGGGTGTGTTGGTCCATGTGTGTTTGTGGATGTGTGCTTGTGAGGAGCGGTGGTGCAGTGGTGAGCGGACTGCGCTACAAACCCGGTTATCCGAGTTCTATTCCCGCTCACAGCCAGCATCGGTGAAAATATCTAAACCGGTTCTGGGCCTCCCCTAGGTCGTCTCAGACTTAAAATGAGTACCTGGTGCGGTTAGTAAACATCATTGGGGAGTCAAAGCCAGCCCGTCGTGGTGCTGGCCACCCACCCCCTTCGTATGACCGGTGCCAGCCGTAATAGTTGCTACACGCGAACAGCCACTTGCCCCCAACAGTGTCAAACGCGATACGGGGGATCTTTGCCTTTGTGCGAGGCCAGTGGTGCATGGGAGGAGAGTGCGTGGTGGCGGGAACGTGGCCCATGCACGTGCACGGCACGTGGGGTCCCTGGAGCTCCTGGTCGGTGTGCTCGCGGACGTGCGGCGCGGGCGCCCAGAGCATGGAGCGGCAGTGCAACAACCCCACGTGAGATTTGCTCCTCACTCCCCCGCCCCCGCTCACATCCCCCCGTCCACCCACCTCCCCCAACTCCCCCGGTTCCATCAGCTTCCGGCGGCAGTCAGTGACCACCACACAGAGGTCGCGAAGCGAGACGACAGAGTGAGTGCATGCCACACACGGCGAGGTTTGTTGGGCGCCTCGCTGATTGTGGACTCTGAACGCTCCTCATGCCCTCACCAATGGAGCCGACTTCGTTTCTCAATTTTTGTTTTTGTCCCGATCGCTTTACCACATTGCTGTAATTTAGTTTTTTGTCATTTTGGCGGCCAAGGTCACTCTTGCAATGAGACTCCTGTCCTGGTCTCTTGAGTTCTCCACCAGTTACACGAATTGATCTTGAAACTTGAACTTGTTTATGTCCCTCTCTTGAACGTGCATTTGTGTCAATTGAAGGGGCCACACTGATCGTCGATATTGGCGTAATTTCCACTGAAGCCTGCTGCCGTTTGTCTCTCAGTTACAGAATTGTGCCTTTGGACAAAAAAAAAACACACGATGTTATTTACTGTCAGAATGTGGATAAACACGCTGTAGTGATTTTTGAAGTTAATTACTTCCATGAAAGTGATGAATACATGAAATGCCACGGGCGACCTAAATAGACAAAACTACATTCAGGCATGAAACTTTGTCAATGCGTCACGGGGGTAATTTTTCTCCGTCTGGCTGCTTGTTGCTGACAACAGGCATTTTGATTCTTTGGCCCTGTGCTCAGCAACAGTGATGACAAAAAAAAGTAAATAAAAAATAACCCACAGTGGCGCGTTCCCACCGCAGCGGCTACGGTTGACGGCATGGGTGTCAGTGGCAGGGGCTCGTGAATGCCACGTGTGGGGTGCCGTGTGCCACACAGCCCGCGGTTCGGAGGAGAATACTGCACGGGCGACTGGCGCCGGTACCGCGTCTGCAACACCGAGGCCTGCCCCCTCAACGGCACCTCCTTCCGCCAACTCCAGTGCAGCGAGTTCGACAAGGTTCCCTACAGGCGGCAGATGTACACCTGGCTGTCCGTGCCGTACCCCGGTATGTTCATGGTGTGACGGTCTCCCGACAACTTGGAGCTGTGCATTTTTAAATCTGTGTTTAGTTCGTTGTCCTTCCCCCCCCCCACCGCCGCACCTCCGGTTAGCACGATTGTCTACGTATGGCGCGAAAGAAGTTCAACATACGTACATACATCTCTGCCAATGAACTGCACGTGGCAGGTTTTTTTTTCTGACAAAAAAGTTCGCCAAGCCGAGATTCGTCATTCACGTTTCACACTTTGGTTCCATCTGGTCTCACGCAGTCTGTTTCACGTGCATTTTAAAAAATTTAATTTTTCAGGTGAGATTTGCTTTGACTGAACGATGTAGAGTTTGAGTAAAGAATACGTGATTTCACGCGATGCTCATCTTTTGTTCACAACTTTAACCCAGCGCTGGAAATTCCACATTCCCATGGTGGAGGAGGGGGGGGGGAGCATTTATTCCATATAACAACTGCTGTTGACTTCCCCATAAAGTGGTCATTATTTTACTGGCTCTAGAGAGATGACGAAGGGATGAGTTTCCCACTTCCCCGAGATTTGAACTCAGTCTCCCGAGCGCGAGCTACACACGCGACCGCTTCACCACTTGTCCAAAATGTGGAGTAAGATAAAAGATTAAAAAAAAACAGTCGGCACATTTCCAATTTATATCCTTCTTGAGTTTTCCCTCCTTGATTCAGCCAATTCTTACGGTCACACTTCAAATAATCCGCTTATTTAAATTGTACATTTACCAAGTTTAATTTTTCTAATGCATAAAGTTTCGTGGCTAACAGCGGAAAGAGCCGCGAAATGCGACATTCATGCATTTTTCCTTCCAATCGTTGGCACGGAGTCACGTTGAATTGCGTTGAGAAATGATTATTGGCGAGGCTTTGGCAGCGATAGGATGCGCCCACCAGCTTCTCGTCAGCCAGTGATGGATAAAACTACGGCCGTCCTTGATTTAAAGCCATTATGGGACCCTCCTTTTCAGCTCAGGCTTCCTTCAAAAGTCTTTATGATTGAACAAGGAATCAGTTCGGCGAGCTGTAACGTAGTAACTTGTGCACAGTCATTAAGCATTCTATAATTGCAAAGTCAGTTTCGCAAATGACGAAATCTCGCATTCAAAAGTTCAAAATCATTCGACCGTATATACGGGGTATCATTTCGAAGATAATTATAGTTTGAGGGAATATGGCTTATTTATGAATTATGTCAATGGTTTGACAGGTACATGAAACTGAATGTACGATCCCTATCTCAGCGTGGATGAAAAATGTCAGATCTTCTCAGTACGTTCTGCACCGCTGTATTTTCTGAGAATTTCTCCTTTATTTTAGAAAGGTGAACATAATCTGAATCGCATTGCCAATTAGTTGGCATACTATACCCACGTAAAATTCCACCTTGCGATTATACCAAAATTATGGAAGTACCACGAGGAAAAATAGACAGTTTTCCCCTAGGCAAAATAAGTAAAGCATGCAATTACTGGGCATTGGAATAATTGAGATGAAATGTTACGTGAGACGCTTTTAGATTTTGGGGCATCTAAGTGCATGATAAACGAAAATCCTTATCCTAATGTTAACTAAACACGTTTATTTAAAAATCTTATCTTACCAGGTAAGGCCCACTGAGCGATATAACTCTTTTTCAGACGTGACTTGGCCACAAATGGTAGCTCAACAGAAGTAGCTTATCATTGTGGACATTTATAACAACCAAATACTCGAAATGCATGTTTCTAAATGTGGAGAGAAACACCCGAGGACTCAGAGAAAAATCCATGCGACCACGGGAAGAGAAGATGCAAACTCAAAATATACAGGCGTCAGGGTCGGGATCGAACCCACGACCTCCTGAAAACTAGGCAAGGTAGTTAACATCTCGCCTCAGCCACAATGCGACTATGGCCATGCAACCCAAACTTTGGACCACATAGTAAACCGCTGTCAGCTGCGCTCCTTCAACAGAGGAGGGACAGCAAAACGACACAAACTCTCTCTTTACCCCGACATTTGGCATGCATCTCCCGAACACATTGCTGCCACACACTCATACAGTCACGGAACAGGACTCCTCGGCGAGCGCGCGAGTGGGACGGTGCCCCGACCTGCACAGCAGTCGTAGCCGTCGTACACCCATCTATCACCGGTGGTTAGGCACCAGTTGACCTTGGCAAACAACAAATGCAAAGAGGCGGTGGAGCCCGTTGGTTTCAGGTCGGGGGGGGGGGGTTGAAATATCCCCCCTTCGCTGTGCGAAACGTGGAGGCCCCTTGATCTCCGTGTTCCCTGCCGACCGTCTCCATGGCGAGCAGATAACCCCTGTGAGCTGCACTGCCGCCCCACGGATGGCCGCTTTTCAGAGCGGCTGAGGGACTCGGCTGCCGACGGCACGCCGTGCGGCCTGCCCTCGGAAGGCCTGAGCATCTGCATAAACGGTATCTGTAAGGTATCGCCACGTCCGCAACGGTCTGTCCTCACTCTCTCGCCGCTGCTAAGACATACAAAGCAATGCGTTTTTACTTTCACGTTCTCAGTGTCGATTCCTCGGTTTGCGTGCGTCGCTTGGCGTTTTTAGACGCGTGGCGAATGTCCTCTCCGAAGTAGGACGTCATGGTGCTGCTCTGTGCCACCGAAGTGGACGCTGATAATGTCGTAGTCCGGTGGAAAAGGGGGGTGGGGGGGGAACAAAATTAAAACACCTCCGTTGGTCTCATCGCACAATAAATATATTTTATTAGCCTGGCTGCTCAATTGGTCTTCCAGACTAATGTTGTCCGGCAGCATTTGTTTAAAGTATGCACACCACGGATTGTTTGTCAAATTTCTGATGAGCAGAGCCAGTCTCGTGACACATACACTGCCGTATTGCGGCTGTTGTCTGCGAGAGCACTCCTCTAACTGTGCAGGGTGTCACATCCAGGCAGTATGTCCCCCCTAGTTTCCTTCCACATGCAAAACTATTTAAGAAAAAATATGTATTTAAGCACGCTCCTCCTGAAACGGTTTTGACACCCATTAATGCATTTTTGGGTCCAGAAGACCCATTGGCTGATGGACTAGAATGGAGTATTTTTTTACGCAGAGAGACAGATTTTCGTCACTTGTTGCCCGCACTGGAGGGCAGCCGCACCATCGTGGTAGTGCCAAGCCCAGCTGCAACTCATGTTATGGTAGCTGTTGTGTGTGGGCTACCGTAGCAGAGATTTACCACAAGGAGATTGAACTTGGGTTGCCCAAAGGGACACTTTGGTGATGCAGGACACATCCCAGCAGCCGTCTAGTGCCAGTCCTGCTTAGCACGCTGCGCCATGAACCTGGCTATCTGAGTTTGATTTCCTGCCACGGCTAACATCATTGGCACAGTGACATTTAAACCGGTCCTGGACCTCCTCCCCACCTTTACTGACCCGCACTGACCAGCATGGTGAATTACGGTCAAAACAACCTCTAAGACCGAGATGGCCTGGGGAGACCTACATCCAGCAATAGATGAACAAGCGGCTGTGTATTATCACAACAGGACCCACACTACTCCGCAACAGCATAATGCGCGTTTTTTCCTGGGTAAACATAGATACACTATCTATACACTATCTGGCGGTTGCAAATGAGCTATGCTCTCTTTGCCTGTCCAATTGCTTTTGCCACTGACGGGTAATTGCAGGCTTTTGGGCCGTGTTGACTTTATGTGTATGCTCAGTGATCGTCAATATTCCCGGCGTTTAAGGAACAACCGTTCATTTGGCCCAATTTGATCAGTTAAACTGCAATCGCGTGCGTGTCATTCAATGCAACACAAGAACATCCGTAGACTGTATCAAGAAGGTTCTGAGATTATAGTCAGGACCATGAGGTCATCTGCTATGGTATTTTGTGTTCTGCAAATACTCGTTCTAAGTGCAGCGCCGACTCATAGTCAGTCTTCGTATCATCATTCGTAAAGGACGTTTCCTTTTATCATGTGTATTATAATCATTACTATTATTTTGATTGGCACAATAATATTAAATCAAGATGTGTATACCATGTCTGTCGTTGACAAATCGCACCAGTTCATTTTGCAGCACTGGAAGACAGAATCTCGGGAATTATTAATTCACGCAATATCCAGCGGCTGCCCACAGTGAAAACTGTAAAGGGTCTCCGTGCACAAATGAGCACCATGGTGACAAGGATCATTCGTCTCTCCCCAGGACAACCACGGTTGACTTTCCACAGGGTGGTAATCTGTTTTTTTTTTAAATCAATCTTGAAGGTACTATGGGATGAATCAACCCTTGAACAGAAATTTGAACCGTGTTAAAATTCACCCTCATGATGCATTTAAAACAATGACGCACGCATGCATATGCCTCCTCCTCATAAGATTCACGAGCAACCTGTGATGAAGTGTCGCAGGGATTGAGATCTGCTCGGCAAATCCGTTTTTGCCCTTGCACTTAACACTCACGTGAGCCGCGGACATGAATCTGCTCTACTCAGTATAATATGCTGATTATTTTCTGCACATTTTAATTTTGTCTGTCACACAAGCCCGTTTTTGTAACGAAGGATAAACGATACCTAATGCTGTTAACGCATGGAGTGATTGTGTTTTGGTTTATGCACTACACCATACAGCCGTCGGAGATTAATTCCCAGGCATGGCTTACATCAGTGGCAAGTGATATCTCAACAGGTCTTGGGCCACCCTTTCAACAACCACCACCGTTTAGCTTTGGTGAAGTATAGCTCAACAACCCCAGCGGTGGATTGATTGAGAGCTTTAAATTACAGCTTTTATTATTGTTGTAATAACAGGCCATCGGTTTTTACATGGTGTCATCACACGATGTAATTGTGATCTGAAAAGGTGGCGCTTGTGTTTTATAAGGTGACGCGCAATGAAAATGTAGGGGAAAATTATTGGTCAATTGGTAGCAAAATAACATCAATTCACCTATCATCTTGCCACAAATGTGTTGGTTAAATCTTTCGCTTTGAGTGCCGGCCAATTCAATGCAAAATACATAATTGTCTGCCCGTATTACTCTACAAATAAGACGTCAAGGGGTGAGAAATCAAATGAGTTTTTTTTTTCCTGGCTGTAGAAGCTGGGCTGTGACTTTGTGATCAGCTCCCTGGCCACAGAAGACCGCTGTGGCGTCTGCAAAGGCGATAACTCCACCTGCAGAACCATCTCGCGAAACTTTGATCTGCAGGAGGGATTTGGTAAGCTCCAACTCTTTATCCGTTATTTATGGGGCTTTCATATATCTCACGGTTAATTGGTCACCTGCAAACGACGTCAGCATTTTTTCTGTTTTGGCAGTTAACGATTTTGATTATACATTTTTTTAATGTGATTTGTTTTCGTTCATCTATTGGTTCAAATCTTGCTGGGGAGTTCGATAAACAATGCTTGCCTTGTATTAATTTCCCGGAAACATCTCTGAAATTGACTCTGCACCCCGGAAAGCTCTCGGCTAGATGTCAAAAGGTTTAAAACCTTAACTTCAAATCGTAAAATATTTAATATATATACAATGTACACTATTCAATACAGTATCAAGTCACAATGAAAATAAATGTGTTTTTTTTTAAAGTCCTTTTTACATTTCATCAGAAAGCAGAGGGCACAAACACTTACAGAAAATTGACCTCAACACAGCCATGAATCAATAGACAGTTAAGATCAATGCCAGGCATCAGAAAATATAAATTGGCCGTGAAAGTGGGCTGAAGTTCTCTTTATTAGTGGTGCAGCACTAAATCATTGTAAGCAACCATGAGCCACCGGTGAATGAGTGGAGGCAAGTGGAGCCCTTGGAATAAACGATCAGTCTTGAAGCCAGAAGGATCGTGGGAGGAGACCTTGCCGAACGAATGAGCCTATTCAAGGCCCCGAATAAATGGTGAACACTGCTGTGGTTTCGCCGGAATGCGTTTTTACTTTACAGCAGTGGACTCTGTTAATTTAAAGCGTGAGCAAAAAAATGACGATAAAAGTAGCGAGTCACCATTATACCGCACCTCTTCTTGAAAAGCCACTCACGGCAGCACTACAATGCCACATATCCTTCGCACATTTTCCAAAACACCATCAGCTGCCGGTCGTGCAAAATTTCTCACGTGTTGCGTTGCAACCACTCACCACATGCGCACGCTTCTCATAATCTGTGCTCAGATTGATACTTTTTTAATGAAAGAGCCATGATTTGAGACACAGGTTAAGATCAGACGTATCAATTCCTAACCAAAGCCGTAATAGAAGATGATCATATGCAGTCAGCAGAACCTGCTAGGAAATAAGGGTCAGCTGAGTGCTCAAGATGGTTCGCATCATGTGATGAACTTAGTAAGATATGCAGGTGCAAGTCCATGGGATGCCTTAAATATAATCACGACAATCACAATAATACCCTTTGTCTATGCCGGAAGGCCTCACTGAGTTTGAAAATATCTTTCAGGAGGCTCGTTAATGAGTCTTTCGGAATGGGGGAGAAAAGCAGAGCACCGCCAGAAAGCCCACACGTATGAAGGAATAACCAAGTGCTGCACAGATAGATTTAATAATTAATTTGGTTTATTGACACCACCTGGCAAATTTGGAGCCCCAAGCCTACAACAAACTGGTTATCCCCAGGCAGCCTACTACCCAAGACTCGGCTTCTGAAATCTGACAAGATTCAGAATAATTTGCTCTGGGTCTCAGCTATCAGGATATGCAATGTACAATCATGATGTACAAGGCCCTTCCTGTTTCCTATACCATTAAAGTAGAGGAAGAGCTCGTCAAATGACACAGTTGATGTCGCCCTATTGCATGCACATATTTCCCGCTTTATTCACGTAAACAAGTTATCTATCAACTGGGTACATATTCTTAGCTCTTTCGGTAAAGTCACGTTGAAGGGAAACAATAAAATAATAAAATATATATGAATATATATACAAGCACAGAGACAATTTCAACCGAGAAGATGGATTCTGGCTTAGCAATCATTGGAAGGATTTGATAAACCATTTCAGGTCTTAATTGATTGTTCACGCTTACGGTGGCTTTCAGACAGCATACATAATGTTTTGTCTACCCCCTCCTCTTTTCAGAACATAGATGGACTCGTCCTTCTAAACAAACTGCCAAATCGCTGCCCGTGGTGCGAAAGGTTAAAAAAATAAATAAATGTGGACGCCGCTATAAATAAATAAATGCGAACCGACACTTCTTTCAAATGTTTCTTGCCGTTGGTTTTTTCACACCTGATGATGACCGTTTGTGTTAAGGTCGAAACGTCGTGAGAATTGTTATTGTTTTATATCATTTATTATTTTATTGTTTCCCTTCAACGTGACTTTACCGAAAGAGCTAAGAATATGAATTACTGCAGTCACGAAAGCTTTAAATCAAAATTTAACTGGGTAAATAGTTCATGTTTTTTGGTCGCAGACGCTAGCTTGATATCACGTAACACAAGAGTAAAAAAATAAAAATGCTTCACTGAGCTCACTGCCCTGATATTGACACTTCTTGAATCTTCAATCCAAATGGGGTAGAAATAAAACGTGAAAGAGAAGCTTCTGAAACCACAACTAGCCGTGGTGAACAAATACATTTTTATCTCCTGCGAAAGAAAATGTGGCTGAAAAAGACGCGAGCCAGTGTCCTAATTAACAAACATTTATGTCCCTTCCATCAGATGGCCGTTGCTTTAAAATGCAGTTAAAATGGAAATGAAATATGGTAAATGTGTCGTCCCTTATCATTTGGGGGTTCAGATGTAGGTTTTTTTCTTCCTTTTTAGCAGTGGGATATCTGCATTTACGAAGGTCAAGCATAAATTGTCTGAAATGCTAAACACCGGTACCACATGTTCCCCAAGCTAATGGGATGGAAAGCCTTTACTGAGCATGCTTGCCGATGGGCAGGTGTTCTTCGGGTCGACAGTTCATCTGTCATCATAGCCGCTTGGTAATTCTGCGGGGAAACACCAAAGCGAGCCTTGGTATCATGGATGTTAAAGACCGTCAGCTGGTGTGATTTTACAAGTCAAATCGGAACTTTGAAAAATCACCCTGCAAATGTTTGTTCTAATCAATTTAACAACCACCACCTTCAAAACTGAGCTACTTTAGCTCAATTGGCTCTCATACAGTTAAAGCTAAACCCATTTTTTGTGGGACGGAGCGGTGGCACGGTAGTTAGCGCATTATACTCCCAATCTGAGTTTGATTCCTTGCCACGGATAATATCCATGGGGATATCTGCATTGTCCTTCACCCACCTGCCCCCCACTTCTTACCCATGCCCCTCACTTCTTACCCATGAAAAAGCACTTGTATTCTCACTTACATTTTACAGGTTGCTAATAGGCTGGAGTAGGTGGCCGCATTCCGATTAGCACGGTTGGCTACGTACTGTGCGAAAGAAGATCAACATGCATACAGTACATACGTGCCGAGTAGCCACAGCCATAGCGAGATAGTATACTGGATGTGGTGTGCTGTGTGCAAAACATATTTTCTGGGTTGTTGGTAAAATGGTGTAAATATAAATGTGTCGTTAAACCCGCCAACACCCGACAGCCAATTAGTAAGGTTTGTCACGTGAACAAAACGTGTCAATTAGTTGCTACTTCAGAGGGTAAACCCACAGCATTTGCAATTCGAGTACGGCGTTCCACAGGTGACTACAACCAGCTTTACGTGATCTAAACCGAAAAAAACTTTATTATGAGTAATATTGGTCGCGAAAGCCTACTACGTGTTCAACTGGTTTGGGCACATGACCAGGAGCCATAGCCAAAGCGAGAGGCATACTGGATGTGGTGCGCTGGTTGTGGATATAGTGTCTGGGCCGCTGACCGTTGCAAAGTGCTTGTCACAAATGAACCACAGTACCTTGCTGATCTCGTCAAGGAACATAAACCATCACGCGAACTCCGGTCGTCCTCACAGCGGCTTCTGACAAGCCATTGAACATAGACGGGGACCGCATCGCACGCTTTCGGATGCGCTTCGACAGCCGTCTGCTTTTCGTGTTTAGTTTGTTGTCATTCCCCCGCACCTCCGATTAGCACGGTTGGCTACATACGGTGCAAAAGAAGTTCAACACACATACGTGTGTGGTCACAATGACGGACACGGCTCTGCTCTACCCCGTCGCTGCTGCAGGGTACGTGGACGTGGGCCTCATTCCCGTGGGCGCGTACGACGTGCTGGTGGAGGAGCTAGCCGAGGCCGGCAACTTCCTGGCACTGCGAACCGCCGAGGGCGGGCGGCCGCTGCTCAACGCCGGCTGGGTCATCCAGTGGAGTGGCGTCTACCCGCTGGCCGGAACCACCTTCACTTACCAGCGGCATCAGAACCACGAGAGGCTGAGCGCGCCGGGACCGACGCAAGAGCGCATCTGGATACAGGTGGGTGGAAGCAAGCGGCACCACTGTGCAATTTGTCTCTCTGGCGTACCATAAAACATGGCCACTTCTCCTTAATATAACCTGATATTATCTCCCAACCGGTGTCACCTATTTGGGAACAAAAGATCTCTCGACCATCCTTTTTTCTTTGTCGATGTGTTTCGTCCCGATCGTTTGCAATCCGTGAAAATCCCCGCCCCCCCCCCCCCTCCCTCCCACTGGCTCGTCTGGCTGGCCAAACGCGCAAATCGCACCAGCTCCTGTACCAGGCGAGGAACCCCGGCGTTCGATTCCAGTACACGGTAAACAGCCCGTGGGCGGTGCGCGGCGGAGGTGCTGCGGGAGCCTCAAATTCGCGCCCAAGCTTCTCCTGGCTCTATGGCTCCTGGACCGAATGCTCAAGCACCTGTGGATCAGGTAATGTGCGACGCAATGCAATGAAATCGGGGAAAGGGTTGCAGCCGTGCACATTTTTTTGTTTACGCACTGTAAACTATTTTAACTATTTACTTTATTTTACCAGGTGAGACCCACTCTTTTTTTTTCAGATGCGACCTGGCCACAAATGATAGCTCAACAAAGTGACTTATCATGTGGAAATTTAGAGCAGTCAAATCAGGGGTCCCCAACCCCCGGGCCGTGGACCGGTACCGGTCCGTGGCCTGTTAGGACCCGGGCCGCACAGCAGGTGGAGGTGAGAGCGCTGAGTCCGCACGTGGCCCGCCACCATTATTTTATTATTTACCACTTCTGTCCGCGCCTCTTTCCCGCACTGCGCACTTGTCTCAGTCACAGTTTTGGTAAGCCCACAAGCTAACCCTAGCCAAAATGGAGAGCATCTTTGAAAAAGGGGAAAGATCCAATGATGACCCCCCCCCCCCCCGGTCCATGAAAAAATTGACTTCCACGAAACCTGTCCCTGGTGCCAAAAAAGGTTGGGGACCGCTACTCTAAATGCATGCTGATTCTAAATGTGGAGGGAAAAACCGGAGGAACCGAAGAAAAATCCACGTGACCACGGGGATAGAGAACATGCAAACTCCAGACATATAGGCGTCAGGGTCAGGATCGAACCCACGATCTCCTGTATACTAGGCGAGGTAGTTAGCATCCCATAACGCCACTGCTGGCAGAAGCTGATTTTCCATCGGCAGTTATAGAGATCTCTTCGGCAAGGTAGTTTGGCATACTCTTCCATATTTTGGGAGAGGTTACGAGGAGCCACACTTTAGCCCACCACACATGACCTCCCAATCGGCCGACTATGGTGGTGAACCTATTTCTACTTCAAGTACCAGGATGTCTAATTAAAGTGGGAAGTTTGGTATTGCAAGTCCAGCGTGTGCTAACCATTTGCACCACAACAGCATCTGTTTCAGAAGATCGCGACCAAATCATCCAAATAACTTACCAAACGCTGTTGTTGAGCTAAAACATGATGCGTGGGAGGATTTTGTCCTTTTTGCGCGGTTATTAATAATAATATTTGCATTTAAATAGCGCTTTACATTGAGGGTCTCAAAGTGCTGTACAGGACACAGCAGCAGCAGACACTCAGCATGAAAATAAATCTATCATAAATATATCTTAAGAATCATTTACGAAGCGTATAAATATGTTTTAAGACGCATTTTCAAAAATGTCCACAGACTCAGAGATCCCTCTGATATCTCGTAGAAGAGCGTTCCATAGCCTGGGGGCTACACGGGGAAATTTTCGGTCACCCATAGACTGAAACCTCGACCTGGGAATGCAGATCTTAGGGACCTTGAGGGGACACATGGGTGCAGCATGTCAATGATGTAGGCTGGGACAAGATGATGCACTGCTTTGTAAGTTAACAATAGGATGTTAAACTGGAAGCCAGTGCAGGGAGGCCAACACGGATGTAATATTATGTGAAGAAGGTACTGCAAATTTGTTGTTGATTGATGTCTTTATCTAACCATAACCAAGGGGGCGGAGCCCGTTTACTTTCATAATTTTTAACAAAACAGTCTTGGTTATTCAGAGTTAGAGAACATGCTTTAATAATGTAACCTTTTTAAATGCACGAAATCTTCCGTTAAAATTTGAAGGTGGGCTAAGACGCCAGCAAACTGTGTTCTACCCTATCTTGTGAATTACGTCCCCATCATGTTAACAGCCACTCTTCAGCAACTGCTGAGCATTGTTAATCCCTTGGAAAATGACTGGGTAGCAGCAGGGATTGAATTACCTTCAAACATTGGTGGTCATGGCAACAGCTGGGATATATTTTGCCCCTTTCATTGTTTTAGTTCTAAGAAAAGACCTGTCACAAATTTATGAAGCTAATAGCGCCCATCTGTGAGTTGCAGATGCGATTAGGGTTTTTTAAATCCATAAATCTGACCAATGTGTTATCTTTAATCTTCGAGAATAGTGTGTCATTTTGTTTATTGCTGCGACATCTTCACAGGTGTCTCTTATTTTTTCGTAAAAAAAAACCTGTGGATTCGAATTTCGTTGGATAATGTTGCACAGAAGTGTTTGGACAAATGCAGTTAGCGAGTGCGTGTTAAGACCAGTATGTCGCATGAGGGGGGCCGTGGTGGGGGGGGGGGGGAGGGGAGAAGGCAGCATTGCGCAATCACCGTGATTGTCTGGTTACGTTTGTGTCTCTGTTGCTGATGCTGGCAAACCACTCCCTCGTCCTTACTTTAGGCTAAGTCAATCTAGGGGAGGCGCGGACCATTTTCCGATAACAACTGCCGCTCTCGTTGCAAGTGGCCACGCACTGAACCGTGTTCGAAACGGAATCCTTGCGCTGCGCACGGACCACTCTGCAACACCCATCACTGCCGCCCACCAATGGCACACACACACACACACGTGTACATGCCCTCGTGTGTTTGCAGTACACACCGATGAGCACGGTTGGCACTGCAACACCCATCACTGCCTGTATACAAATAGAGCTGGGGAACAACAAGATGAATCAGCTAGAATATTTGGTGAAAGGTTCAAGTTTGTTGTTGCGACGTTGATCTTGTTCGCATGCCATACATATCATTGGCCTTCAAGGGGCACTTCATTAAATAAATTATAACGCTATTTATAACGTGCACAATATTTGACGGACATGAATGAGCATGACTCTGGTGGTGTGGTCTCGGAGGAATTATCCGCTATAACATACATGCAAACATACATACATATAGATTAGCCGATTATTATGTAGCTTTAAAGTAGCTGAGGGCCTCATCATTGGTTCCCAACGGGGGGCCCCAAGTTCTTCTGCATTTGACCTTCATATCATTCAATTATAGATGCAAATTATCTACAGCTAAAAACATAATTGGGGGCGGTAGAAAAGTGGGGGCGCAAGAGTTGGCCAACTGCGCTACGAATCCGACGGGCTGAGTTTGATTCCCGACAGTGGCAGGCGATATCTGAACAGGTTCTGCCCCCCCCTCCCCTTTACCAGCTTGCACCGACCGGCGTAGTGAAGTAGTCTCAAAACAACCCCCACGATTGAAACGACACGGGGAGGCCTAACATCCAGCAGCTGATGAACAAACGGCCGTGTGTTATCACACAATGCGACCCACAATCACTCCGCAAAAACAACTGAACACGTGTGTTTTCCTTGGCAAACCGATATCGCGTCTGGGGTTGCAAACGGGCGATGCTGTTGTGGCCCACGGGTAAATAGCAGGCCGTTGGCTGTGTACGCTTGATCAAGCAACGTCGATGACCAACATGGCATGGGGAGGCCTTCATCTTGCATCAGATTGACGATAAAGGGTCGCAAATTGTCCTTTTCTAATTGTACACGAGTAGGTCACCCCCAACTGCCTTTCCTCACTGCATTGTCACCATCAACTGTAAACACCACTTTGATGTGGAATTTTAAGACCCGTCGCCCGAGATCCATGAAACTCAAATTCATAATTGATAATCGGCTTCTTCCAGCACATATTTATTTTACCAGGTCAGGCCCACTGAGCTATACAGCTCTTTTTCAGAAGCGACCTGGCCACAAATGATAGCTCAACGAAGTGGCGTATCATGTGGAAATTTATAGCGGCCAAACACTCTAAAGGCGTGATGTTGATTCTAAATGTGGAGGCAAAAACCGGAGAACCCGGAGAAAAATCCACGCGACCACGGCGGGAGAGAGAGACACGCAAACTCCAAATATACAGCAGCAGGCGTCAGGGTCGGGATCGAACCCACGCCCTCCTGCATACCAGGCGAGGTAGTTAACATCTCCTAGCCACCGTGATGATGATGAGAGAGAGAGACACGCAAACTCCAAATATACAGCAGCAGGCGTCAGGGTCGGGATCGAACCCACGACCTCCTGCATACCAGGCGAGGTAGTTAACATCTCCTAGCCACCGCGGCGCCCTATATATTTTTAACGGCTTTGGGTGGTCTCATACATGGTGCAGCACACACCCTGCCTTCTTCTCTCTTTCCTCTCACGTTTCTAATTCGCGTAACCCCCTGCGCGGTGGCTTCGCAGTGTGCAGTGGCGGCTCACCATTTAGGGGTCGGAGAGGCTGGCGTCCCAAAACACAACAAAAGGAAAAAAAACCTTAAAATACTGTACGCTATTCACCTGCTCATTATACTCTACACTTTACACACCGCCCACGCTTTCCCCCACCCCCCTGTGGGTATCCGTGGATCACCCTCCCTACTGCCACTTGAGGTAAGGCCATGTCCCATCGCTTAGAGGGGAGACCACCATCACTCTTTAGCCATCTTCTAGCTCACATTACCTTGCCTGTCAAGAGTGTTCGGGGGTTATTGATATATGCTTAGCGAGTACAGGGATAGAGAATTCCAAAAAGATAGGGGCATGGTATTGAGCTAGAAGGGTTTTTTTTTCTCTCTCTTTTTTTCTGTTGTTTTTTGCCCCGGTGGCTTGCGGGAGAATTCCGCTCTGAATGTTTTTTTTCCATGGTTCTTGGTCTCATCGCCCACAAAAAAAGCAACAATTTGTCATCCCGCCCGACACCAAACCAGACAGCAAGCAGACAGGCGATGTATAACGTGTTTGCGACTGAAATGGTGGAAAGTTTTCTCGCCTATCATTACAATTTGCAAACAACGTTATTGAAATGTTCATCGTAACATTGCATTTATTTAAGTATTTAACTTGGCATCCTGGCTCATAGCAGTTATATTTTATTCGTGTCCTTTTTTGCTTTTATAACGGAATGTTCTTATATTCTTGGCAGGGAAAATGGAATTCTTTACATTTGTTTTTTATATTATTTCCTTGTGAAATAATATAATGCAACATTGTTTCGTAATTTCGGTTTTCGTTTGTAGCAAAAAATAATAATGAACCTTCACTGCATTTTACAAGTCGTTTAAAATGAATCCTTGTTTTTAAATGTTACTTTCGAAAGTAATATTATCTTTGTTACAATGTCATGGTG